TTTGTGTTGGTGCCCCCCCCCCACCCCCCCCCCTTAATTAGAATGTGACATCATCCCCTCAATATTCTACGTTCCTGGAACACATCATCCCTAGGTTTCTCACCTTTCTACAGGATGGAGAAGTTCAGTTTTTGCAGGAGAAGCCAGCACAGGTAAACTGCGTGGAGCATCTCTTACCTTTTTGCAATATGTGCAGCAGACTATTCATTCAGTGAAGTACTTGATTAACCTAATGAACTGACTTATGTAGAGACTTTGTTGTTAAAAATAGATCTGTCATTTGGAGAGAAATTGAAAAAGTCCAGTTTCTAAATAAGTTACTTCTAAACTTCGCAAATCTGTGCTTCTATGAAAAGTGAAGAAAAACGAGGTGCAACAGAATTGGCTTTCTCACTGAAAAATGACACATTACAAATACTGACTTTACTGTGGAATGAAAAGCGAAAGTTGAATGTCATTAAATACTTAAAACTGAGTTTCTTAAAGTCTGATAACTTGCGTTTTTCAACTGTAAATTTGTTAAATTTGCCTTATTCACCTATGTGGGTAGGAGGAAGCATTATGTGTTTGTATGTAAGCCTATGTCTGCACGAAGTAAAATGTTTTTTATTTTCTTTTTAAGCATGCAGAAGTATTAAGCTGAAAAGGTGTTGCAACCAATGGTTGTTTTTGTGGGCTTTTAAAAAGTTCTATCATGTCTTTATTTTTTCCTTTTTTTTTTTTTCACAGCAACTCCGAAAGCTAGTGCTTGAAATAATTCACAGAATACCAACAAATGAACATCTTCGTCTTCATACCAAAAATATCCTGTCTGTGATGTTTAGATTTCTAGAGGTAATTCCCTCCTCCCCCCCTTAAAACTGTTTCAAATTTTCAGAAAGATTTTCCCCTTCTTTCTTCATCTCCAAAAATTGCTGGGGGGAGGATTTTAAATAGCTGTGCTTCTGGAGAAGGAAAGGAAGGGCATTCTGTTTAAGGCTTCACCAGTGTGATATCTTACTATCTGCAGGTTTTCTGCATGTTCTCTTTGCTCTTTAGAAACTTGGATTTCACAAAGGCAAGGAACTGTTCTCATGCTAGACAAGATTTAATTCATGAACACTTTTCTGGCTTATATAAGTGCAGATACCTTATTCTAGAGATTTTGTTTTGTTTCTTACTTGAAATTGAAATCACTGTCATTTGAAGCCCACAGAAAATACCCTGCTCTGTGTGGAGGTGTCTTGGTGTGTAAATAGCCCCACTTGTGTGTCGCTGTCTGTGGGGCATTACAAACAGGTCTGATGGTATACAGTGGTTGAAACTTCTGGTTTTTGTTCCAGTAGCGGTGAATTTAATTTTAGCCATACTCTAAGGCTGCAAGATAAAGTTATATCAAAGGAAAGGCATATTGCCCATGCAAAATTAATATAAACGGGGCACTTCTAGGTAGCTGAGAGGAGTATAATTTTACAGGGTTTTGAAGTATTTACGGAGTAATTGAAGAATGCAGCAGTAGGCTAACTAAAGATTCACTTTTTTTTCCAGACAGAGAATGAAGAAAATGTACTGATTTGCTTAAGAATAATTATTGAGTTGCACAAACAGTTCCGACCAGCAATCACTCAAGAAGTAAGTCATAGATCTTGTTACATGGTATAGAACTTATTGCTATGCTCTTCAGAATTGTTGTTTTGTTCAGGTGGGTTGGTTGGTTTGTTTTTTCCTGCTGTCCTTTTGTTGGCTGACCTGTTCTGGTAACTATATATTTAATTTTTTTTTTTACTTTAAAGTAAGTTTTAAAAGAGAATTGCATAGTGCTAGCACCCCTGGGAAAAAACAAACTGTTAAAACCTGGTTGTTTTTGCTTTAAGTGTTTATGGGCAGTATGATTAGACTAAGGAATAAAATTCCTACAGAAGGGAAGAGAATTGGTGCCTTTTTAGTTTGTGAAGGGAAAATCCTGGAAAAGGAGTATTATGATTGTCTTTTCCTCCACCTCCTTGCTTTTCTCCTGTGACTCATGAAGGAGTATTTGCAAGTTTGCATTTTTATTCTATTGCTTTCTTTCCTTGATTTTTCTCCTAGGAAGACTTAGTTGGTCTATAGTAATTATTTCTAATAATACTGTGTTGGTACTATGTTGAGGTGATAGATAAATCAGACTCTTTCCAAGTGCAATTCGAATTAATATTGGCAGAACAGAAGGAAATAGGAGAACACTTTCAGATTCTTTTTAAATATCATGAAAAGTATACTCTAGTGGTGACTAAAGATTTTATGTAATTGTACTGTTAATACAGAGATTCTAAAATTGTAAACTTTTTTCTTTATGGTAAACTGACTACTTCCTTCCTAGATCCATCACTTTTTGGACTTTGTGAAACAGATTTATAAGGAACTTCCAAAAGTAGTGGTAAGCTTTTTATTTCTTAAATTGACCTTGCTGTAGTCAGAAAACTAGTTTTTATTTCTTAATTTTATCTCTAAAAGATATTAACATATTTACTGTTGTATCTAGTGATACAAAGTAAATATAGTTTTAATAAAATACTTAACAAAAAATATGTCTAAAAGTGGAGAAATGTAGATTTTGAATTGGAAAACCTTCTGTTTCTAGCACAGTATAACAAGTATGAGAAAACTGAGGTAAACTTGTATAATAAAGCACTGATCAGTTGACGGCAGTGGTGTCCTTGTAGCCAAATGTTTTTGGTGGGGTTTTTTTGAGCGAAGGGTAGCGTGGTGTACTTTCCAGCAGATGGACTTCTTCAGTGTGCATGATCTCTGTGGAAGCCATTGCCTGCTCTTCCTCACTGATACAGGGTATCTGTTTGGATGTTTTTCTTTAGCAAAAGGACTACCTTGGTTGGGGATGCTTTTCTGCCTCTTGCTGTAGCGGGAGTGAAAGATGGCAGGGTATGTGTGTGGTCCTAGTAGATACTGCATTGCAAGCATCATGTGCAGAGAGGGAAAAATTACATGGAGCAGTTCTAATGAGATAAGTGGCCTTTTGACAATTACTAGCATTATTATATTTTTTTCTTCTGCTCCTTGCTTGTAGAATCGGTATTTTGAGAATCCTCAGGTGATTCCAGAGAACACTGTTCCTACTCCTGAAATGGTTGGCATGATTACAACAATTGTGGTGAAAGTCAACCCTGAGCGAGAAGATAGTGAAACGAGAACAGTGAGTACTCTAACTGCTCTGTAACTATGAGACTGTATGTATCACAATACTCCAAATCATAAGGGCAGGTAAAGGTAATAGGCTTTCTTTTTGCTTGTCTGTCTTACCAAGATTTATTTGTAGAAGCTGATTGAAACTTTTCAGATATTTTCTATGCAGCTGTAACTACAGGATTTTTATTTAATACAATACCAAATGGTTTTGTGCTTTTTAAATGTTACTCTTGCTAAATATAGTGCTATTAAAATGAGCATTTTCTTTAGAAATGTATTTCAAATACTTTTTTGAATTAATAATTAAACTGTTTATAGAACATGTATTTTCTTCTTTCAGCATTCTATAATTCCCAGAGGATCTTTATCTCTAAAGGTCTTGGCTGAGCTACCTATTATTGTTGTTCTTATGTATCAGGTTAGTATACGCCACTATTTTGCATGTAAATACTTTTTATTACTGAATGGCTTGTGTAACGTCTGCTGGCTAACATATTAGTAAAAATGAATGTAATGTATCTTTAAGATTAAAATATGGCCTAAAAATAAGTGGCTGAGATTTCTTAATTTTTTTCTGATTAGCTCTCAAATAAGTTGACTGCGAGTGTGACTTGTAAATTTCTCTAATAATACTTTACTTTTTTTTAAGCTCTACAAACTGAACATTCATAATGTGGTAGCTGAATTTGTGCCCTTGATTATGAACACTATTATAATACAGGTTTCTGCTCAAGCAAGGTAAGAGCGTTTTAACAACATTTTGATGATATTTGGGATAAACTACTTAAACCTGCCATTCAGTTTTGCCCAAAATATTTTTGTCTTATATCTTGTGATTTTTTGCTTTTAGTCTTACTGCTTTTGGTCTCAAAAGTGGCAATGATTATTCGACTTAAAATTGTCAAACCTTTGTAGGTGAAGTTATTGGCAAATCTGAATATTTCCATTATATGTCACTGATAAAATCCATAGTTGTGCAGCATCCCAATTTATTACTTGATAATGCGCTTTTTTTTAAATAGAGTTTCTGACAGAAATCTGTATTACCGTAGATAGTGTGTGATGGAGGCCATGTTAGCTAGGACACTTGCTGTTGTTTAATCTTTACTATACCACCAGTGCTACGTTTCTGTTCTTCCGAGGTATAGCTTAGGTGAAGCCTTGTGATGTTGCAGGTATGGGTGCTGCTTTTCCTGCTTCAGAGAAGGATGTTTCTAAGGAGCAGCAAGTGGTGCTGAGCAAGGGCAGCAGGACTAAGATCTCTGTCTTCCCCTATCTGCCTAGATCAGCTAAATAAGTGGTTGAAGCTTGAGAGAGACAGACAAGTCTGTAGGAGGGAATATTGCTTGGAGGAAAAAAAATTGCCCCAGTCAGGGGAACAGAGCCAAATGTTTGACGCTAATGTATTGGCTTGGCTTTCTGCAGAAAGTTGAAAATTGTATGGCTGCCTCAGGGCTGTGTGTTTCTGCTTAGAGCATAAGATGCTGGGAATTTGAATGGCAGACGCTTGTTGAAAATGAGCTCTCCCATGATGATTTTATTCCCTTATGAAGCAAGAACCTCATTACAAGATGATGTAATTTGAAATTTCTGTGAATTTTTCTGAATGAAGGTATTAAAGAGGAGGAACAAAATTGTAACTATTGTGCAATTTAATTTCAGGCAACATAAACTTTATAACAAGGAATTGTATGCCGATTTTATCGCTGCTCAAATTAAAACATTGTCTTTTTTGGCTTACATCATAAGAATTTACCAGGTAGGTTGCATTTTTTTTGCTTTGTTACTCTTGATGCAACGATCTCTAGTTGCTTCATGGCAGGCAAGTGACCAGAATGACTGCAGTGCATCAGGGATGGGAGGGAAGAGCATTTGCGTAACAAATCTGAAGACAGGGCTATACTTGGTTGTCCTTTCAGAAGTACTCTCATGTGAATGCTAAGTAAAAATGGGCTGTTCCTCCTGCCCCAGGCATTTATGGAATGGCTATTGTATTTTCTCTTTAAGAATTCTACTTGCAGAAATAAACAAGTGAATTTTAATTGAATGTTATTTTGCAAATGTAAAGCAAAGCTTTAAAATAGAATGTCATAATAATTGTATTCATGTTATTTTTTTGTTATAGGAATTAGTGGCTAAATATTCTCAGCAAATGGTTAAAGGAATGTTGCAGTTGCTCTCCAATTGTCCAGCCGAAACGGCACACCTCCGGAAGGAGCTTCTGATTGCTGCTAAGCACATCTTGACAACAGACTTGAGGAGCCGTATGTAGTGCTTTTTAAAAATGTATCTGTAAACTGGAAAGATTTCAACTATTTCCGTGTATTTAAGAGGCATATTGCTTACTACTTGTTTTGGACTATTACATACTTCTGATTATTTTGGGAATGGGTATGATTTTTGATTTGCCTTTTTTCTTTTTTTCTTAAAAAAATAAAATCATCTGAATAACATGGCATACTGAACAAGTGGCTTTTCTAGCTTTCCAAATCTCTGTTGTTCCAAGTAATTACTATTTGATGATAAACATTTTTGTTGGGTTGTTATTGTGCCTACAGTTGTATGGATACTTTATTAAGATATTAATCTGTTAACCTGAGTGGAAGTAGTTCTGTCAAAACCTGATACCAGGTTTGATTCAGCTCAGAGCATTTGCCTCTAGCAGAGGAAAGCTATTTTTGGTCTGCCTGAATTAACTAGGTTTGGTGGATATGTTCTGTTTTGGCAGAATTGCAAAATTGGAGATGAGTGTACTTTGTAAAATACTAACTTCTATCTTTTCGTTTTTACTGTGTGGTCCCCTTTCTTTTCCTTCTGCTAACAACAATTACGGGGCAGTGTGATGTCTTACAGGTATTGTTAGCTCACCAAAAAAAATAGCATGTTTCCTAGTTCTGGAATTTAGTATTGTGGTTTGAAGCTGTTTCTTTGGCTATTTTTCTAAAGAAATTAGCTTAATTGTTCTAAGTTTCTCAGCCTGTCCTTAGTAACTTCTGAACTTGACCAGTTTCAACAAAATTCAGCAGAAGAGCAAGGTCTTAAAGATAGGATGTTCTGCATCCTTTGTGGACTTTAGTGTTTGGGTAGTGGAGAAAACCCCAGTTAGTGTCTCCATTGGAGGAATAAACAGCAGCATGAGCTTAGCAATTCATTGCGTTTGGTCAGCTGGCTGGTATTTTAGCATACACGTTGCTAACACATCCCTCCAGCCCTGCTCTTGGCTACCTGGCAGCCCCAAAGTGGATTTAGAGGAGGAAATGCTTAGAAATGTTAAGGAGAAGAGGGAACATGATATCGCAGGAGGGATAAGGAGTGTGACAAAGAGGAGAAGTGGGATGTAAAGTATGTGGAGATCTGTAGAAGATAAGGCTTCAGTCATTCTGATGGTGCAGTTCAGCTTATTTGGGAAAATGAGTGTTGAGGGAAGTGTTTCATGTTTGTGGGTCTTGCCATTGGCATTATTGTTCTCAGTGAAATAATTTTTCAAACTGAGTCTTCTGTGTTGATTGAGAATTGACGAATAATGCCTTCTATCTTACTGTGACACATTTGGTCTGTGTGGATCTTTGTTTCTGATTCCTGAAAGTGAGGGCGGAGGTGAAACTGTGCTCACTCTCTCCACTGTTATCCCTGTAAAGATGGCCTCTGTCGCTAAGAATATTTCATGTCAGCAAAACGTTGTTTGCGCATAAATATTAGATAGAGGTTTTAAAAGCTGACTTAGAATTCAAATGGAATTTAGAAACTTACATTTTTTCATCCCTCTTAAGCCGTTTCTTTTGAGAATTTTAACGGAGATGTCCATGTGAAAAAGCTAGAATAGTTTGTATGCCGTTTCTGAAATTCTAATGACTGAACATTGTGAACATTTCTTAATTTCAACGTACAATATTCTTATGTTATGAAGTTTAACAATGAGAGAGTTCAATTGTCTGGTGTAAACAATTTGTTACTGTGTGCTTTGCTTTAATTTCTTTTACTAGTTCACATTAAGAGTAGTAGAATAACACAGGAATATTAATGTTAAATGTGTTCAATACACAAAAACTGATTATTGTTTTTCAATTTGCATTTCCTCTGGTTTTTTTCCATTGTCGGGATTTGTGTCTTAATCTCTTTGGTCTGCTAACACTGGTGCATCTAAGACTAACTGCTTTTTTCAGACAGAGTGGTTTGATCAAAGGCAGTTCCTTTCCAACCATGTTTTTGACTCAGCTTTTTCCTCCATACTATTATTTGTTGGCTATGATTAAATTTATTCTCAAGTCATGACTGCCATGATGGTTGCCTTGTAAAATAATGGATTGTCTTTGCATCTAAAATCTTTATTCCCATTCTTTGTTTGCTTTTTCCACTGTAAGTCTTACAGATCTCTGTCCCCCCTCCCCCCAAAAAAATAATGCTGATGCTCTCATTTTCTCTTCCTCTGTATTTCTGCAGAATGTGACGTTCTCTTAAAAGCAAAGGCAGCTACCATGCTGTCCCTTTCCTTTAAGTGGGCCTCACTGATTCGGTGTCCATTTCAGATTTCATTCAGGAAAATGCTGGATTTTTGTCTTTAATATTGTTTGGAAATCTGTGCAGAATGAAGGTTGCTGGATGCTCCTCTTTCTTTTTATTTGACTTTTTGCTTATTTGTTCATAAGTTTTAGCTTGCTGCATTACTTGGAGGTGGGAGCAGTTAATCCTTCCTGCCATTTCCATCATGTGCCTTTAGGGTGGAGTGACCTAATCAATTCCATAAACTTGTTTATTTAAAAAGAAAATGCTTCTTTGGTCTTGCTTTGTCACTTGATTTTGTTACTGAAATCTTCCTTTTGTTCCCTGGACCCCAGGTTGCATGTATTCCTCGTTAAATTTTGGGATAAGGCTTGTATGATAAAATGCCAGGCAAAATAGAGTTGTGTTGTACTGTGTTACTCACACTTGTCCTTTCCAGTGACTCATTAGTTACATTTAAAAAGTTCTGCAAAGTTGAAAATAATATAAGCATTTTTTCTTCTTTCCAGCTGTAAATTTTTGTTGTATCAGTGCTGTGGCTTTGACTGTGTACTGTAATGTTACTCAAGGGGCAAGCGTCAGTGGAGTTCATAGTCATAAGAGGTTAATTGAAAGTTTCCTTGTAAGTGACGCTGCCTTCTGTAATCTTCAGGAAAGAATTTTGTAATAAAACCACTTTCTGACTTAGGTTTAAATACCTAGTAAGTTAAGTGGTTTAATGCTTAGCTATCTTATTTTGATGATTTCCTTTGCCAATCATTATGTATAGCTTTTTCTTTTTTCTCTCTCTCTTTTTTTTTTTTTTTTTTTTTAAATTACAGAATTTATTCCATGTATGGACAAGCTATTTGATGAATCTATACTAATTGGCTCTGGATACACTGCCCGAGAGACACTGAGGTATGACAGAAGGTTTGGAATAGCTATCTGAGTGCCTGCCAGGGCTGTTTTCTTTCAAGGTTTATTAATATTTGCAACAATGTCTGTATGGGGTCCTAAATCTTTGCTTTAAATAACTGATTTTATTAGATTCTAATATTGGAAGGGCTTCTGCTGCTGATAAGAGTGGTTGTTGTTTAACACTTCGGTGCAGCATGGTAGTGTGAGTGTAGGGCAAAATGAGATAAACGGGTGAATGAAAATTATTTCATTTTTTGAATTGCAGAGAACAGCCACAACAGTGGCCACGGTGAAATCAACTCAATACCTCCCCAATATTGCATGAAACAGCCTAAATCTTGTGTCCAGTGTAAAATCTGAATGACACTTAAACTGCGGTGTCAATAAGTACCTTAAAACTTACTCATTTGCAACTGAAAAAAATAAACAGGGAGAATACTTACTTTCTGCGTCTTCAATAGTCTACTAGCTTTTAGGTGCTTTTGCTGACCAAATTAAAATATTTGAACTAGGAGAGTTATTTCCTTTTGCTTAAGTGTCAAGTGTACCTTATTGACAGCTTGTATTAGATTTAGAAGTTTTTGTTCTACTAGATGCTTAAACCTGGTATTTGAAAATAAATGATTTTTAAAATTTATCAGTTTTTGTAACTACTTTTGAAATCATGAATCATCAATGTTTAATTGTGAAAGAGCTTAGCAACACTGCTTAAAACTTGGTCTCAAATGTGGTAATTTGCTTTTAACTATGTAGATGAAGATATGTGCTGGGGCTCTTCAGCAATGGGGGAAGAAAGATCAGAGAGGTAATATTAGTGTTGTGGGACAGATTAATGCATCTTTGGTTAGATTATACAGGTTATAATTCTCTTGTGTAATTGAAAAAGCCTTGTGAACTCTGGATTTGCATGTAAAAATAGAAGATTTGAATTTAGAATCTTGTAAATAGCTCCAGGCAGTAATTATTGGTTAAGTCCAATTAACAACAATTATAATTGTCTTCAATGTGTTTTCTTCATTTCTTGTTTTTACTGATAGACCACTTGCGTATAGTACACTGGCAGACCTAGTACATCACGTCCGTCAGCATTTACCACTCAATGATCTCTCCCTTGCTGTCCAGTTATTTGCCAAGAACATTGATGATGAGTCGTTGCCTAGCAGTATCCAGACCATGTCTTGCAAGCTTCTGCTAAATTTGGTAGACTGTATCCGGTCTAAGAGTGAACAGGAGAATGGAAATGGTAGAGATATTCTTATGAGAATGCTGGAGGTATTGATATGTTTAAAACACTTGATAATAAGTTGAATATATGTTGTCAATCACGTTTTACTTTCTCCTTTCTTCAGAAATTAGAATATATAGAAACAGTCTGCATACTGTATTTCATTTTAATAGTTCAGAGAAGGGCTCTTTAAAATGCCATGCAACTGGGATAATAAGTATAGTGGAGATGCTTTGCCAACTCAGCTTATTCATTGAGTGACTTGTTTCAAAGCAGGAAATTGAATGTCTGTGATGCTGGGGGTAGCTTAACTGTTATTGTTAATTTCTAAAATTTTCTTTTAAATTGTAGTTGTATTCTCCATTTTTCCCCACTTAAGGGTATGTGAGAATGGTGGTTTTCTTTTTTTTTTTTTTTTAATGCCTTCTGGTTATGTTTGTGTGTGGTGTGGTTTGGGTTTTTTTGGTTTTTTTTTTTAATCTTGAAAGAGGATTATCTTGCACGTCCTTGATGTAGCCCAATACAATCTGTAAAATGTGAAATATCCGCACTTTCAAGATCTACTGATCTTTTTTAAAGGATCTTCTTTATATAGAGGATTTTTTGTGGGGCTTTTTTTGTTTTGTTATTTTTAACAATGGGGGATGCACCCTAAAAGCGGTCATCCATGGTGGTAGTACAAGTGGAACACTGCTTGTTTGTTGTAGCCAAGTTGTTAATGGAAAAAGGTTGCCCAGTGTTTCTCCTGCCACAACATGAAGATGCACTCAATTGTAGAGTAAAACACTTCTAGGGTAAATACTGGTATAATAACCTCATTTTGGGATGTGAGAGCACATCTTGAAATCTAAATCAAACTGGTGTTAACACTTTAACTGAGGAAGCCGTATGGCTGCTTGTTTTGGAAAGGGAGATCTAGGAATTGTGAATGTAGTGGATCCCCTCCTTCTTTGACTCTTCTCTGTCATTGACAGACTGTCATGGTTCTGAATGCACCAGGGAAGAGATCTAGTCATTTTAGTCATCTCCAGGTTATTTGGTATTACCCCTGAACTTTTTTTTTAAGGTAGCAGCAGTTTAGGGAATGGCTTTCATCCTTAACACAAAATGTAGGTGATGATGCAAGTGAAAAATCTTGATGTTACACTTTGTAATGGATCCTTTATTCCAGATTTCTCAAACCAAAGTAGCTTTCTAGTAGGGTTTGTCTTCCAAATAAACTACTTTTTTTCTACTTTTAAAAAAAATCTGTAATGTAGCACAATTCTCTGGTCATTTGTTTATCAAATTAAAATTTGTAATAACATGTGAATTCAGAGAAGATACATGTAGGGAAGAAGGGAGCATACAGAACTGTGGTGGTAGTGGGGAAATATCTGAGCAAGCCGAGTAGATCTAGACTTTAAAACCTGGGAGGTATAGAAAATTTTAAACGGAAACCTTGTGCAACGTGTACCTTCTTTAGTATCAGCCAAAAGGCAGAAATGTTGGGGACCACTGTCCTGCAGGACTGATTATTGCGCTCTAAATCTGATATACTGCATAAAACTAAAACTTAAACCTATAACGTGTACATCTTTTAATACATGTGACACATATGACATATACATATGCATCTGAAAAATTTGAGCTTTTTATGCTTAATAATAAATATTTATAGACTGAAATATTAAGTCTTATCTTAAAAAATGAATTCAAATAGCTTTTAATTTTGAATTAACTAGAATTGTAAAGAGATCAATTTTAGTTGATAGTTTTACTAGTTTTCAGCAAATATTTTTACTTATGGAACTTGTTAAAAGTAAGCAAACTACTTTGTTGATACACTTAAAATGTTTGCTGTCATTTGAATGACTTCAGAAATACTTAGTTGTAAATTTTACTGATCTTGGAATGCTGACTTGAAGTATTAGTATTATGAAATTTAGAATGATTTTTGAAGAAGCAGCTTATTTTTGTTTTTCTTCCCCCT